TGATCCTACATAGCAGAATATTTGTACAGCAACCAAAGTGTTTGATATCTCTTGTAATTAAAAGCAAACTAGTTTCGGATGTTTTTCTCAGTCCTTCCCTCAATCCCTCTTCACAATCACAGTTCCCTACAGCACTGATGGTTGGTCGGTCAATGTGGGTTGGGTCCAGCACAGCAAGTTGATTCACTAAATTTTAATACCTTATTATATATATATATATTTTTTAAACTCCTTCGAGATTCTCTTACAACCAAGCGGTATATAAATTTTGTTAAACAAATAAATAGCATTTCCATGGGGATTGCACCAACTGCTGTTTGCCAGCGCAATCCAATGTGGGTTGCCTACCAATGGGCGTATCCAGACAATTACAGCTGATCCAGTTAATTACTGTGCTTCCATTTTAGTTGTCTATGTATATACGCCCTTAACTGCAGCATTTAGCCATTGCAAAAATTAATTAGATCTCATTGTTCAAATGAGATCTAACCCTTTCACTGAAAGAATATATGGCTCTGCCTTACTTACGCTGACCCAGATTGGTGGTCCGTCTAGTTCAATTCTCTTTACCCTGAGTGGCAGCTGTGCTCCAAGGCCTCAGGAGGAGAGGGGTCTTTCTCTAGCCTGTTACACCCCCCCAAAAAAAAAACTTTTTAAACTGGTGTCATCAAGGAGTGAACCTGGAACCCTATGGGGATGTAGAGCTTGAGCTCTGGCAGTGAGTTAATGTTATTGCTCCCATCTTTGCCAGCCATCATCTTCCTTAGGTCTAGCATGGCACACAGGGTATTTTGCCCCACTTTATCTCTTCCGTCCGTTCGCAAGGCAAGGTGATGTGGTGCGGACTCGGAAGTGGGAAGACTTAGGAATCCTCGAATGCTTCTACAGTGATCTTCAGTTATGCAGCCTTATCTAAATCGGAGCGCTATCTGAACATGCATGGCAGGAAGGTTTGTTTTGTTTTATTACATTGCACTCAGGGGCAACGTGCCTCTTAATTAACATTTCCTCCTGTTTCATCTTGGCGCTGCCATCCTGCAGCATTTTGGAAGCGTTCTCTAGGAAGAGTTAAGCAGAACTGGTGGCAGAGAGAGAGAGAGAGCTGTAATAAAAAAAAGAAAAAGAACTTATTCTGAAAAATATAGCAAAAAAGCCAGTTCTTCAGTTCTATCTCTTGGTCACATGTTGGTGTGACCAAGGAAGCAAGCACAATGTAGGGCTAGGCATATAGGAAAAGACAGTTCTCATTAGTGTTTGTTTCGGTTCTATTGTAGGAAGTAGAAGTGCTGAAACTCAGAGAGAGAGAGAGAGAGAGAGAGAGAGAGAGAGAGAGAGAGAGAGATGGCACAAATCTATGGGGCTGAAGGCAGTTGAGGCCACCAACTGGTTGAAGCTACAGCAGGTTTGGGACTCTTTAAGTGCCTGGATGGGTGGCCAACCGGTAACTGCACAAATGGGTTTCATGACAGAAGAAAGGCAGAATATGCATGTATGAAGATAAATAAAACCTGTTTTCTCAGCACTGAACCAGATCACCAGAGGCATGTTTAACCCCTCTTCCCTCTGCCTGGGATACCTTTTTACTTTTCTCTCCCATAGGAGAGGATGTGCCGCACTGGGGGGCATTGGGGCATAGTCCTCATGCAAAGTGTATGGTATACCGCAGAGCTACACTCCCCAAATAAGCACAGTTTAAAGATAAATATTCTTAAGGCAGAGCAGGGATCTTGCAGTTCCCAAACACACAGGGTCAGGGTGCCACAGTCTTCCCCACTATTGTATTTCTATTTAACTTAACAGTCGTTTCTAGTCTTTCATCTGTGTACTGTACATATAAACCAGCAAAAAAAATTTTTTTAAAAAATGCAAATATGCGAACTTTTCCCTCTCTTTTTGTCAGGGGGAGGCCATGTGTGAGTGGCCACTTAACTCCTGTCTGTTTCTCATTCTACTTTGCTGGCCTAACAGAAATATTTACATGTTTACCACACGGATATTTATATCTTCATCCTAATGTTTCTGGAATCTGGGCATATCGAGTTATCATCTGGGGCAGAAAAACCCCACAAGCGTTTCTTCCCTCCCAGCAGTAACAATCCACATCTATTTAGAAAACAATTTGCTGCCCTGTCATTGCTGCCTGAGACGGCTGCCAGAATGCTTTGAAATAAGAAGACAAAGTTGTCTAGAAGTTTTGCGAGGGGCCAAGTTTTGCATTGAGCCCAGCAAAACGGGGCAGACCAAGGAAAGTCAGAGGCTCTTATTTTCCAGCAATGGGGACCGGATCAAAGTGAAAGCATTTGTGGATCCTGCTCCCTACCCCCAGTCCCCTCCTCCTCGCCCCGCCAGTAGACTCCAGCTGTAACACATCTCTGGAGCCTTATCTAGGACTCTGGTGCCTCTGTTTGCTGGACGATCCCAGCTGTGAATTTCCTGCCAGGGGATAAACAGATCAGGGGCCCTTGCTGACACAATCCAGGCCTGACAGGATAAAGGAAACCGTTGCAAAGGCAACTTGTGAAACACACCAGCTGGGAGATACATGGATGGGAGTCCAGCCGTCAAATTCCCTCTTCACAGCCCCTCTCCAGTTGGTGGAAGTCTCTGATCCTGGACTCAAAATGCCTCACAGAAAATGTGTTTGCATTTTCCTCTAGAGGGTACAGATGCAGCCCCTGATGCAGAATCCACACCATACATGAAAAAAAAACACTATAATGCCATTTTAAAAGTCATAAAGGATACGGAGGGGCGGGAAAGTGCCGGGAAGGAACTGTAGCTTCATTGGCAGCAAAATGATTGGGAGTTGTCTGCTCTGTGGTGGGTAGACTACAGTCCCCAAGGTTCTTTAGGGAGGATGTCCTTTGATGGATGGTACATACAGAGCCACCTCTGTATGAGTTCTACAATGGCAACCCTAAGACCAAGGAGGAAGTTGGTAGGCAGTGCCACCGCTTGGACTGGTTGAGATGGGCAGGGCAGGGTCTCACTTGCCCTAGGGAAGCAGCCTGCACTGTCTGGTTAAATGAAGCACTACCCCCCCCTGCCCCGCCCTACTGCACACTAATTCTACTCATGTAGCCCACTGCATTATCTATTGTACTTTGGTTAATGCATCCAGCTGCCATTCAGGTATTGGTAACTTAAACTGGTTGATCTGCAAGGTTACATACAGCTGCCTGGCAGGCCACTAAACACAGGCCTGCAACAGGGTTTCTCCTAGTCTCTAAGTAAGGGGTAGAAAGGCAGAGATGGGAACCTGCAATCCTTGCCTTGATTTCATGCATCTGGCAAGGGGAGAGCAGCAGAGAAAAAATGGGTGGAGAAAGAAGGGGAAAGGGTGCATTCTTCCCCCACTTGGCTTGGATCCTGGTTGCTGCCAGCATGCAGCCATGGCAGATTACCCCAAGTGAGTGTGGCTCTTGACGGGGAATTGGGGGGAAAACATTCCGTTAATGTCCTGCACCTGCATACAAAACTCACACTGCCCGAATACTGAATGGGTTCAGTTCTCTAGGACAGGGCACAGCAGGAGCAGGTGGGACCCAGGGTGCTTCACATCCTTGTGAGTCACGTCAATTCATCCTAATTAATCTGGAATACATGCCACTTCCAACTCTGCGACTAGAAAGCACTAATGCAGATTTTAGCCTCTGCTCTTCATCAAACAAAAGTGGGCACAGAGATTGGCACGGTTCAAGATTGGCATAAGGCGACCAGGTGACAAATCAGGTGTACAGTGTAGAAGCGGGTTATTCTTGCCCCACATCCTCTGCGACAGGCCCCCCAACTCAGCCAGTAGTGCGCAGCATATGCATTGGAAGCGTCAGTGGCATCATACAACTACTCTAGGGTGGCACCATCTTGTCTTAAGATGGCGGTTGCTCCAATCAACTGCGCCTGTGTGTTGAGGGAGGAAGGACTGGCCCTGTCCAACAGGCCGTATGGGGCAGCAAAACGATGAGGCCATCTCCCCCTGGCAGCCCAGGCTCAAAAATACTCCTGGCTAGTGGGGAAATCTTTCAAGATGGAACAGAGGTCCCCTCCTGGCCTTGGTAGTGCAGGTTATGAGTACAGATGGGACTCCCTTTGCTCCGAGTTTCCCCCAGTCGCTTCTCCTTTCCCCTCACGTAACCAAATAAAAGGATCCCTGAGGAAAGGAGGAGTGGCAGCCGGGAAAATCCTTGAAGAGGAAATGCAGCTAATTACAGCAAAATGGGTGCAGTTGTTTTGGGCCTGGGTATCAACGTTAATTTTCAGCCAAGGCCTGAAAAGCAGGGGTAACCAACATGGTCTTCCCTCACCCCACAATGTGACAGGACTACAACTCCCATAATTCCTCCTATGTTTGCTGGCCATGCTGGCTAAGGGGTTGATGGGAGTTGTAGTCCAACAACATCTGGAGAGCATCACTTGGTTACCTCCGGCCTAGTTGGTCCATGTTGGAGGATCCTTTGGTTAAGAAATGCTCCATGGGATGGCGGGGGGGGCACATTCAGTGCGCCCACCCTCCATGGCAGCAGGGTCCAGGGGGCTCTCCTCAGTGGGTGTGACATATGGCCCCTCTTTTATCACCTTGTGCGTTGCCACTCCTTGTGCCAACTTGGTTCAAGGCGGTGGTGTTTTCTTTAAAAGCAAACAAATATACAGGAGGTGCCAGGGCTGAAACCGGTCTGGGAACACCACCTGCCGCCTTCGTGAAACCTTTTTATCCTGAGTGTGGGAATTGCGCGTAATTACTCAGGGCTGAAGAAATGGCACTCTGCCCATGCTCGGGGGCACCTTCCTTCCTTCTCTCCCCCCCCCCCCTTGCCGCCTCCTCTGCACGCCAAGCTCGAGTCCCAGCGCAAATTAAACCCCGGTGAAAGGATTCGAGCCTGCGCGGCGCGTCTTAAAAATAAAAAGCTAAAGGAGGAAAGCCTTCGCCCTCTGCTGGCTGTGGGTGCAAATGGTTGCAACACTTTGCAAAAAAGATAATAACAAAAGAGAGGGATTGTGGGATCGCGAGCTTCCTTCTTCTGTCGTTGCACGCGAGGAGGCGGCGGCGTTGAGCTGTCGTTCCTGGAAGCAGAGTCGGGGAGTGGCACAGCCAGCCCACGAAGTCCCTGGAAGTCTGTCGGGCCACGGTAAGTGGCGTCTCTCCCCGTCCTTAACTCGCCTGTCGTTTCTTTTCTTTTTTTAACTTAAGGCTCAGAAGAGGGTTGATTTAGGAGCTGCGAGAGCTGGGTTCTAATCCTCCCACTGGGCCGTGAAACTCACCGGTTGACGCTGGGCCAATCAGTGCCTTTCCGCCTAACCTACCTCGCAGAATTAAGCGGGGGGGGGGAAGGCGGGACTTAGGTTGACCACCTTGAGCGCGTGGGAGGGATGCGCAGGCAGTAAATAAACAACAACAGAGAGCCGCATGCTGAGTCGATACAGGAGGAGCTTCCCATAAATGCTTTGCTTCATTCCATTAAGAGGGCTTCCAGACGAACGGGGCATTAAGGTAGTGCGTGGTTTTTTTAGTGCAAATGCCCTCCCACCAGATGTCAAGGAAATAAACAACAATCTGACTTTTAGAAGACATCTAAAAGCAGCGCTGTTTAGGGAAGTTTGTAATGTTTGAGGTTTTATCGTGTTTTAAATATTCTGTTGGGAGTAGCGCAGAGTGGCTGGGGAAAGTCAGCCAGATGTGTGGGGTATAAATTATAAATTATATTATTATATTATTATTATTCTGACCCACCAATCTCAGTCTGCCCTCAGCCAGCCTCCACTTGCCTTCTTTCTTCCTTAAAAACAGTCCAGGGCATGGCCTTGGCTTTAAGTTTGTTCCTCCTTCACTTTCAGTATTGCCTTTTGTAGAACAGAAGCAGGCGTGCGGGGGACTTGAATTACAGTAGTACCTCGGGTTACAGACGCTTCAGGTTACAGACTCTGCTAACCCAGAAATAGTACCTCGGGTTAAGAACTTTGCTTCAGGATGAGAACAGAAATTGTGCTCCGGCGGCGCAGCAGCAGCAGGAGGCCCCATTAGCTAAAGTGGTGCTTCAGGTTAAGAACAGTTTCAGGTTAAGAACAGACCTCCAGAACGAATTAAGTTCTTAACCTGAGGTACCACTGTAGTTGGCTCCACCTGTCATTGTCTTGGTTTACAGCTGCTTTCTTTGCTTTCCACCCCACTAGCTTAAATGGACCCTGCTCTTCACCCGTGATCTCACACATTCCCCGTTTTTACTTTTCATTGCAATTCTGCCTCTTGCCAGGTACACTGATGAACACACCTTGCTGGTATGTCTCAGGGCTGTTCTTTTGCCCCTCCCTCTACTGTTACCGTTCTGAGCATGCGCACAAGTGCTTCTGTCCCTGTGCATCACATCACATCTTTTCTTTTTAAACAACCACCGGTATTTTCCAGGAAGGGCACAAGAGCAAACATTACCCAACCGCATGGAGTGGTTATCTTGTTTCACAATGGACAAGATCACCTCCACCAGCAGCATCTCTCATATTATATTGCTCTTTTATTTTGATACTAATTGTAAGTAAGCAGCTTTGGAGCGCAAATCACTCTTGGTTGAATGTCAGGGTATAGATGTGATCATTAAAAATATATATATAATAAAATTTAAATCTGATCTACAGAGTCCACTGAACGCAAGGTTTTGTGGGTGAGCAGTGTCGCACCTCCTCTTCCGTTTTTGAAGCCTTACAGGCCCCTCCCCAGGTGTTGTTGTTTTAAGGTGGTTGTGGTGACTTTGAGGCAGAGAATCCCTTCCTGGTTCAAGCCCCTACATTTCATAAGATACAACTAAGGGAGAGACATTGCTGTCCGGTTGCTACATCCTACAGAACCAATTGTCATAATCTTAGTTCATGTGTTTGACCACATTCCTTTCCCACCTAGTGTTCAAAGTTCACATGTATTTGTTCAGCCATCCATCTAACATGCCTGTAAATGCATGTCAATATTGTCTCCGTTGTGCTCACAGGTGAGGGTGGATTTAAACCAGACACTTCCTGGTTCATAATTCCAGCTCTTCAGTACCACCCTGTGCAAACTTGGTACCTCATCTCACTCCCGTTTTTCAGGGACAGCATACCACTTCCCAGGCTCTGATTATTCTTTACAGCTGCTTTCCTTATGACCCATTATTGATATTGTCCCAGGAACAGCATGTGAGAACTGGTTACAGTAAAAATTGCGTCTTCTAAATAATTTTGTTTCTTCCATAGAGTGATTCCCATTTTTAGCTATGGCTGAATTGGTTCCCTCCCCTGAGGACTCCCCCACTGACCTCTGTTCTGATACCCCTGTGGAACCACTGGCAGCCCCCGATTCTCTTCCAGCTGAGCAATCCCTTGCTGAGATCGACCTCCCTTGCCGCTTTTTCCTAGAAGGTCGTTGCCGCTTTGGTTCCCGCTGCCGGAACAGTCACCCTGGTGACATGGGAGCTGCTCCTCGTTCAGAAGACGGCGGATCCAACCGCAGTCGTTCTCCACAAGGCAAGAAGCCCCCCATGAAGACTGCGGAGGATGTTATCTCTCGTCTCCTCTGGGACCCCCAGCTGCCTGCTGAACATTTTTCTATTGGCTACCTCGATCGGTTCTTGGGGGTATTGGAAGAGCCTTTCACTGCTTTCTCCTGGGAGGACCTGGCTTCAGCCGGGCCTGGCGTGCTGGCTATCCCCAAACATAGGATCCACTATTTCAAATACAAGACTCGCATGGTGTGGGACAAGGTGAGCCGCACAGACGACGTCTTTGGGTCCACAGGAAGTGGGAGAACCATCTTGGAGGTGATGAAGGAAGTCGACGAGGCAGCCAGAACCACCGAGGAAAAGGCTCAGGACCATCCTTCAAATGGAGACAGAGAAAAGGGGCTGGGAGGTGTTGGACCAGGGGCAGCTAGAGGCAGCGGAGAAGAGGCGGTCAGTGGTTCAGCCAGAGAAAAACAGGTGGCCGAGACAGTTGGCGGACAGGATGAGCTGGATAATTTGGATGCCTTCAGCATCACAAAGGAAAATGACCCAATAGTGGAAGAGGAGGAAAACACGGCTTTGCAGAGCAGGAAGGTGGGACACCTTCCGCATCGCAAACAGCGTCCCACCCATTTCATAGCTATCCGAGTCACCAGTCGAGAGACCTGGGAAGCTGTGAAACTCTTCCAAGGCGCCCTCTCCGAGGTTCAGCCAGACCTAGAAGAGTTCTATACCCCTTTGCCTACTCTGCACATCACGCTGTGTCTGCTGCACTTAGATACCTCGGAACACATTTGCAAAGCTGTTACGGCACTCCAGGAACTGCAAGCCAACAGCCAGCGCCTGCTGCCCCCCGCCTTGCTTCTCTCCTTCCACAAGGTTGAGGCTTTCCATTCTCGTGTGCTTTATTTGTCACCAGCACCTACACCTGGGTTGGGATCACTGGCCCAGACTTTGGAGGATGCCTTTAAGAAGAAGGGCTTGGCAGTGATTCCTCCTCCGGACAAAGACAAGTTCCACTTGACCATGGTGAAGATCCCACGGGCAAAAGCAGATCTACGGTTGCCAGCAGATTCCTCATGGATTCCAACTATTAATGATTTAGGAACACAGGCTGTAGAGGCATTATGTTTGTGTGAGGTTGGAAAAGGTAGGCGGACTGATGGGTTTTACACCACGGTTCTGAAAATAGATCTATACTGAGAGGCAGGGGTGACGTCTCTTGTTCTGCTGCTTGAGGCGAAACAGTAAGTTTTGCCATGCTACTGCTACCATGTGCCCTTTCAACACTGGTGGTGATTTTGGGCAAGATTGTGTTAATTTCAGGTGAGATCTTACCTCAAATGGACAGGTTTTGTCCAAAATCTGTGCCAATGGTGGTGGCACTTCTCAGCCACTGGCAGAGGGGCAGATGGAACATGCATCTGAGGCAGTAGCACTACCCTGCCTTATGGCTGAGCTGGCTCTGCTGAGGCAAATGTTATCAAGCAGCAGGTAAGCATCTTTGCAGTCAAGATCCACTCTCCAGAAGGAGTCTAACACTGTAAATTGTATTATTGGGAACAACAGGAGCACAGCTAAGAGGGTGAACTAGCCTTGCTTTGAATAACCTGGGCTGGCTGCCTACAGAAGGGATTTAAGAGGAAGGCTGTGGGGTGGGGGATGCTCAGACTCTGCAGATACTATACTCGTACTGCATTAAGCTATTTTGAGGCAACAGTAGGAACTATGGTGTCCTTTCCCCATTTATTCAGCAGGATATACCTGGTAGACTAGAGCCGAAGTACATTGGGGTACTGGGAGCTACACCTTCCATGTGAATGAGAACACCAAACTTGGACAACAGGGATACACAATAGGGAAGTGGCTTGGATGACATGGCGTTTTTCCTCCCTTACGTAATAAAATGAAGCAAGACTTTTGAATGCAGATAAACTTGCTCTGACCATTAGTCATGACCAAGACCTTTTGAGAAGAAAGTCACTCAACTGTGCACTTTTAGTTGTACTGATTTCAATGGATGTTTGTCATGACTAAACGGCAAGGATTGCAGGCCACTGTCCCTGTACTGTACCATGTAAGGAGGAAATCTGCAAACATTGCAGCTGACTAGCTCAGAAAGGCTGTAGGCTCCTATGTTCCTCTAACAACCTCCTCTCTCCTGTCCCAACACTTTGTATCAGCAAAGCTAAACACATCACACACCCCTTGCCTGTTACTTTCTGGGGGGCAGATGAAAACAAGCTAGAATCTCCCTTTGCATGTGCTCTGTTCCTGTGTTTTGTTCCTAGAGACTGCCCCCCCCTGTTCAATTTTAGACACCAACACAGATTTTCGTTTTCAAAAATTTGCTTTAATCAGTTGGAAAAAGATTCAGAGGTTTCTGTAAAGGAAAAAGGAATCTTTGAAAAATCCAGCCCAAGCCAAAACATCCCAAAATTACACATGTTCAAAAATAAAAAGAGAAAGAAAAGAGGAATTAAGAGCAAAGGAGAAAAGGAGAGAGGGTGGGGAAGGGATTATGAGAAGGCTAGAGACTAAGGGTGGAAAAGAAGGGAGAGAGAGAGAGAAATGGGGAAGGGAGAAAGACAATTGGACAATCTTTCAAAACTTTAAACAAAATTGAAACAATGTGAAGGAAGAAAAGTGGAAATGGGGTGGTGCATTTTCTGAGTTTACCTGTAAAGAACTGAGGACAGAGGGAGAAAAATAAATAAATCAATAAAAAAAAACTGAGCATGACAACTCCAGAACACAATAGAAAAGGAGGAGATTGCAAGGATCATCTTGTGTGTTGATTCAATTCCTCTGTGGTTCCTTCTTACTGCCTTGATTTGATTCTCTTTATGTCGCCACATCCACAATGAGGTGCAATTTACAAAGAAGTCTTTTGCATTCTCTGCACAGGAAAAAGTCACTGAAACTGGTAGGAAACACGCCAAGGCAGGCTTTGCTTTGCTCTTCCCCCTCAGGCTGGTTTTTTGATCGGCTGGAGAGGTGGCATCTCTCTTTCTCCCTCTCATGCTCTTTTGGAGCCAGGCCGTAGCTCGGAAGAGGAAAAAACTGAGACAGCGTTAGTTTTTGAGGAGCACAATGGAGAACACAAAATGCGCACACAAAACAACCTGGATTTTTCATCTTCAGAGAAAACCATCTGTTAAACTCATCATTATAAAAGTAGAAAAGCACAGATTTTTTTTCCTCTTAGAAAACAAAGAGTTTTCCTAGCATTATTTACAACTTGTAGCTTCTGTACAAAATCATCATTCCACATATTTACACAAGGGAACCGTTAGTTCTCATGTACCGCTGACTTCTCAAGTGTTTTCCCAGGTGGAATCTAGATGAAATTACGCCTCTGTAAAGATACTCGTGTGGTTTTAGAAAAATCAAGGACAAAGGGGTCCCCCTGTAACTTAGGGAGAAATCATTCTAGCTTCCTGAACACTCTTGTGAGGGCGAAGGGACGGCAACACAAGGAGACGGCAGTTAATTCCGCATCTCCCAGTGATTCACTTAGAGATCCCTGTTTCTTTCCCCAACCCTTTATCTCAGCCATTTCTGACCAATGAGTGATGGATTGGGTCTTGCAGCTATGGTCTCTCATGCATCTTGACACGAGGGGAAGAAAAAAACAGATGATCATAAACTGATGCTCACGTATTCCCCAGCACCTCCCTACCCCACTGCTGGCAAAAAACACAATCGTTAGACTGAACTCTCTGCTCTTCTCCGTTCCTGGTGGTCTCAGACGCCATCCGATGTCCTTGGATCTTACCCCTCTTCTCTCCGTGTGCGGCGTGGACAGCGGGAGAGGCGCAGCACAGCTAGGTTCCGGCATGCCCACAGCAGCAGCCAACTGAATCTGGTTTTATATATGTATAAATATATATACATATGTACATAGGTTAAAAACGGGGCAGGGCGGGGAAGTGGGCCTTATACTTTCAGAAATTGGCCAGGACCGCCAAGCTCTGCTTGCAGTCAATCTTGGTGGCGTCGGGACTAGTATACACAAGGGACAGAGCTGCGAGGAAGGCTTGGCACTCCTCCTCGCTCTCGAAGGCCAGCTCTGACACAACGTAGGAGACTGGAAGCACCGGGCGGAAACTGAGGGAGATAAAAAGAGACACTGGTGAATGGGAAAAGGCAGCAGATGAAATCCAGGCTAAGACGACAAGCAGAATCCTGAACCTAAGTATGCAATTAGTTACCGTTAGCTACCCTGGCAATGTGAAGAAACTACACTTGAGAGCGTTTCATATTTAAGCTCCTAGCCCTCATGGTGGTTTTTAAGGAGAGTTTGAAAAGAAGGGGTCCATGTGGGATGGGCTTTCAATGTGCTGCTTAATTTGTGAAGAGGAGCCAAAGTTCAGCTGGCATGAAGTTGAGTGTGTGTACAGAATTAATTACGAAGATACGGGGCTGGTTGCAATAACTGAGGCATTCTATCCTTGCTCAGAAGCACATTCAGGAGGCCTGCGGGTTATAGTAAGTCCTAAGCTATGAACGACAAACAAAAACTAAACCTACCCCTGCACCCCAATGCAATGGTAATAAACATACAGAGTGAGGTAAGAGAGGCAACTAGCTACACCCAAGGCAGGGAGGAAAGAGTCGTCCAGACTGTACTGGTAAATAAATAGCAAGTTAGTGATGAAGCGCCCACACATCCTGAAAATGCAGAATAGTCAGGACTGGCATTGGGCAGGTATCAGCTCTCCTCCAAGTGGAAGGAAAAGCTTAGAAAAATGTACACAGCTGTGCCTGTGGAGCAAGTGGGAGAAGAAACCCACTTCAGGGAACTCTCCTACGTCAAAGTAGAACTGACTTTATATTGTACCAATTGTCAAAAGGGTGACACCGCAGATGACAAAACATACTAATTTGCTGTTCTAAGGAATCCTATTAGTCGTTCACAACCCTGCACATAATTAAAATTTGCTCCTTCAACTTCATATATTAGGACACAGCAACTGCTCTACCCTCATTTTTGCCCTCTTGGCATCTTTTACTAGACACCACCTCCTCCTTCTATTTTTGCTTCCTATCTTTTGGGTAAAGGTAAAGGTACCCCTGACCATTAGGTCCAGTCACGGATGACTCTGGGGTTGCAGCGTTCTATAGGCCGAGGGAGCCGGCGTTTGTCCGCAGACAGCTTCCGGGTCATGTGGTCAGCATGACTAAGTCATTTCTGGCGAACCACAGCAGTGCACGGAAACGCCGTTTACCTTCCCGCCGGAACGGTACCTATTTATCTACTTGCACTTTGACGTGCTTTCGAACTGCTAGGTTGGCAGGAGCAGGGACTGAACAACGGGCGCTTACCCCCTAGCGGGGATTCGAACCGCCAACCTTCTGATTGGCAAGCCCTAGGCTCAGTGGTTTAGACCACAGCGCCACTTCTGGACTAATGGGCAGTCACCATTGCCACTAATTACCACAGTGCTTTGTAAGCTTTTGGACCTGACAACCATTTTATTAAAATCCCTGTAGACAGAGACCCCCTTGGCACTATAAAGGCTTGTGGCGTAAACTGAAGGAGCATGCAAAGCGTATATGAGCACAAAAACCACCCATCTATGCAAGCCCCTTTTTCAGTGCAATGCACACTTGGATTTCCTTTCCTATCAGGATGCAATAAGGCTGCATCCCACTCAAAGCAACAGTGTGTAGATTGTTAGCATCTATGCTCAGATGCACATCCAAGTGAGGCCCAGAGTTTCCAGTTCCAACAAATGATAGCTATGCAAGCGGCTGCCTTCTTGTGCAGCTCTCTTTATCTGAACCAGGGCAGGCACTGTGCCATTGCACAGTCCTATTCCTTACCCTGCCTCCATCCCACTTCAGGTGTGGGATGCAGCAGCAGCAACAAAATTAAATCACACAAGTTTGCTCTTGTAATTATTATTTCTTTCCCATACACCAATTTTGTTTTTTGTCTGGGGCAATGGCTATTTATTGCTTCTTGCGCCCAAATAAAATCTCAATGCTGTATTTCCGGAATCAAGTAATAATAAGATGAGCACTTCAGCTGTTAAGTTTACTTAGATTTCTTAAGTGAATCCAAACAGCCCTAGTGGGTCCTCAACCTGGTCCGTGTTTCACAGCCAAACTGGTATTTAAAACCCAAGGGATCAATGGTGGCTTAAGCAATCTTCCTACTTACCTGTGAAGGACATGGCCCTCTAAGCTAGAGTTGCAGAAACACAACCCCCTTTTACCCGCCTCTAGCTACAGGGGACTTAAGTCTCCCTCTTTGCTCCACAACGGAGTTGGGGCAGAGGGGAGAGGCAGGAGAAGGGTGCAAGTGTGAGTCATCCCCCCAGCCCTGACCCCAGGAGTGTCTGGTTTGACTTCACATACGTTTTGATCATGGCTTTGAGGGCCGTTTTCCTCTCTCGCTCAGCAAACTTGTCAATGAGGTAGCCGGACATGCAGGGTGCCTGGCGGTACAGGCAGAAGAAGCGGTGGTAATTGGACAGGGCCCAGGCAGCCCGCAAGGCGAGCGCATGTGCCACACAGGGGTCCGCTTTCATCTCTTTCGTCAAATAAGCCAGCTCTGTAGTGATATCTGGAGGGGAGAAAACAGAGTCATCAAGACTCATTCTCATGCTATAACCTTCCCCGCCCCCATTTGCTTGCTCTCAAATGCCCATTATCTTTGGCTTAAATATACAGGCCTATTCTTTATGCCTACATTTAAGCTTGCTTGGCTTGGCACAGTCCATTAACACAGTTGGTCAAGAATTTAAGCTCTTCTTTCCCAATAGTCTGGAGCCTTTATCTGCTTTTCAGTCTTTTGAAAGCAGGTTTAGCAATACGCTTGACATCCTTCTAGGACTGGCATTGATTGAAAGAACACTAGCCTTTGCAGGGGCAGGCTGTGGGAAAGAGAGGCGCAGGGGCTGGGAATTCTTTATGGGTCTCAGACTACAGTCCAAGGTGTAGTGACTGCATCTTCCGCCTACAGGCACAGTGGCTATAAGGACACATTCACAGGCAAAATGCCACAAAAAAGGGATCCCCGAGTGCCAGAGAAACTCGGCAGACTAGCCTTGAACTACCAGAGACTCCTGCATCCCCTTCCCTTCAAGAAAAATGTGCTAAACAACAAAGCACAGGAATTGGTTTTCTAATTGCAATTAACAAGTAATATGGGCAGCCTCACCACAAAACTGCTGCAGGGTCAATTCAGATTAAGCTATGA